CCAGGCAAGTTTTCTGCATGACAATAAACATCAGTAACCAAAGATTAATTTAATTATCAAATATTTTGAGTACCTAACCTACACCAGTTATGCTAGATATAGGGGACAAGTGATTAAGACACTTTTTCCTATCCTCAAGAGGCACAATCCTATAAAGAAACAGCACGTGTGCCATCATTCTCATCCCTCTCCCAGGCAGACATCACTAATCAGTCATGGGCCTCTTCCTTGAAATGGATACAGCTTTGGCTCCAGGATTCCACGTAGCCATTACCAATCTAACGGGTTTGTTTTAACAGACCTCATCACATTTCACTAAATCTCCATCCACACAAAAGATGAATCTGATTCCCATATTGTAATGTAAAAATTTGCGGTAAACTAATATGAATTAGAAAATAAAACTGAAAGAGGCAATGTCCGCGTCATCTATTATAATTCAACTGAAGCATTATGTACAGAGGTTAAGGAAAACAGTGAAAAGAATGGTAACTTCCTGCCAATTCTCAATTACCATTTTCTAACATTCTAAATTAATTCTTAAATGAAGAGGATAAAGCTTGTGAGCCACCTGAGTCTGCATCAGGTTATCCATTTTACATATGTTCTCTTTAAAGGCCAAGGTTGTTTTATGGCAGCTAGAATATGCTCAAAAGAAACTAATGAAATTATTGAAAATAAAAATAAGGCCATAAAATTTTGAAACAAAATAGTATGGCTTAAATAAACTGTCCTTAATAACTCAAATGGTCCATCTCTTTCATCTATGCAAGATTTAACAAAATTTGCTTATCTTCAAACCACAAACAAGTTAACTTCTCTTGACCACAACGAGCCATTCAACTATTCAAAGATAAATGCTTTGTCTTCCATGTGGCATGGTGCAAAACTTTGGAACCTTGAATTGGTACTTATGACCAGCCCTAAACCACTTCCCAAAGAAAATCTAGGCCCACATAAAGGTGGGAAGGACCTCACCATGTCAAATTCTTCCATATTTAAAACAAGAATATCAACCTTACTATCAAAAACACCTGACAAAGTAATCTACAGTTCCAGCTTGCCTGCTCTCCTGGCAGAGACCAACCTGAAACAACAAACATTAGAAAAGCAAAAATCCACGAACATCAACCATTCAATTCTCCAAAGTCTCTACCTACCAAAAAGTGTGCTTTCCCCATCCATTAGGGAGTAATGAAAGAGTGTCCTAGGGAGATGATTCTGTCTTCTTTAAAAAACTTCTATCAAGCATATTATGCATCATGTTGTTCGAGTCTGTTGTTTAAAAGTTATTCCTCTGCGAGTTTAGTACTAATAAAAAGTTTCACTCACCTATCCATTTTGTCTTGACAATCAGGAAGCTCGAAGCTGGATTTTATGCCCAACTGACAGCAGCTATCCTCAGCTTTGGGTTTTGGTAGGCTACCTCCATCTTCCTATTGCCTTCACTGCAAACTCTTGTTTTTTGTTTTTTGGCTTATTTTTCATTCTTTTTATGATGATCCAACGATGTGTGTTTTATTGAAGCCACCTCAGAATCTTTTTGGAAATGAGCAAGGGCTATAAATAATTTAATAAAGTAACTTTATTACTAAATATTTGTCCTCACTGTCCCCCAAAACTCTCTCCTCTCTGCACTCCTGTGCATGCTGTTCACCCCGAACATAATCTCCGCTATTTCTAGTATTCAGTGACTTCTCCCAGAGTCCTGAGGTTAAATGAACCACTCATTTGGCCCCTAACCATACTTGTACAATACTCATTTTTTCCATGTGCACTGTCTTTTTACGTGCATTGTCTTAAGTTCCTCAAAGACTGTACCCCTAATGGGCAGAGAGTACATCTTACATATCTTTATATTCCCAGCAGCATCAAGACAAGCCTTGCACACTGCAGACACACAAAAAAGACGTGTTCTGTTAATGGGAAGAGTAAGTTAACATTTTTGAAAGCCCACTAGATGAAACCGTGTAGGAGTTAATAGGCTGAAAAGGAGGTTTCTATTTTAAAGCAGTTTACAATCCAAAGAACTAAAATATGTAAATTATCTATGTAGCCCACAAGGATTGCATACATGTAAATACAAAGAAAGTTCCCCAAATGGCTGCATTTGGCAGGCTTTCAGTTGAGTTAAAAGGGGTAAGACTTGTGAGAGCATTCAGCCACACTCCAAGGAGGTACAAGGCGATGGTATTCAAAGAACAGCAAAAACATTTCCATGGGTGTAGTAAAGAATGGCAAGCATCATCAGACAATGGAGGTGAACTTTGGGGACAACTGGCAGAGGGCCCAGAGGCAGCAACGAAAAGCAAGAGCTTGGTTTTCTTTAAAGTGATTTAATAAAGTAAAAACTTTGGAAAACGGTTCACAACTACTGTGTCAAGAATAAAGAGGAGGGAAAAAGACAGGATAAGGCGGCTGACAGTAAATTCTAGAAATGCAGAGGAGACAAGGTACCTTGGCTATCTGCACTCATTCGCAAGTGGGAATTGGGGACAATCCATTTAAAAGCCTATCTTGGCACAATTGCCATGATAGCCCTAAGTGCCAGAACAGTGGTTTCTACCTCACCTTCTTGATTCTGAGACCTCTTCATAGAGTAAAACAATCTCTCTCTGTCTCTGTCACAGACACACAGAGCTGTAATTTTATGTGTGTGGCTTACCACAGAGGCAGTATAACAAAATGGCTTAGAGCAACTCTTGGATTCAAACCTCAGCTCTGATACTCATTAGGTGTGCAATCTCAGGAAACATACTTAACCTTACTTAGCCAGATGTAAGTGGGGATAAAAATTATACCTGCCTCTTAGGTAGGGATACACAAAATGTTTAGAAGAGTGAGTAGCTCAGAAAGCTCTCACCCAACATTATTAAGAAAATGAACAATAAGGTATGAATTCTCAGACCCTTTCTATTAACTTCACAGTCCTCCAGAGATCCTTGATACCCAGGTTGGGAGTCACTGTCCTAGAAGATAAATGCAAAGCATAGGAGAACAGCAAATTCCATCAGCAAGGATTTACGTGGCAGCTACTGAATTCAGCAGTGTCCCAGGGGCTACAGATGCCAACATAACACCCAACAAATAAGGGAACAAGGCAGAGGGTGGATGTTGGAGGAAAGTGGTAAATACTAATGCAGAAGTTAAAAGAAGCCTGAGGGCCAGCCCCGTGGCTTAGCGGTTAAGTGCGCGCGCTCCGCTACTGGCGGCCCGGGTTGGGTCCCGGGCGCGCACCGACACACCACTTCTCCGGCCATGCTGAGGCCACGTCCCACATACAGCAACCAGAAGGATGTGCAACTATGACATACAACTATCTACTGGGGCTTTGAGGGGGAAAAAAAAAAGGAGGAGGATTAGCACGGATGTTAGCTCAGGGCTGATCTTCCTCACAAAAAAAAAAAAAAAAAGGAGCCTGCAACTCAAGCAGGAGTTTAAAGTTGGAAATGAAGTTGGGGGTCAAAAATGTCTGGTCAGGGTGTGGCATATTGAACACATGCTTAAGGAAGACTCTCCTGCGGCAGCCTGCAGGACAAACTAGAATGATGGCCACTTCCACACCTCCCTCACCACTCAGTACCAGCCAGGTGACTGCAGTCAAAGCTCTAAACAAGGTTCCATTTCTAACCTGCACTGATTCACACTGCTGGTCACTTAAATTGGTATAAGCCATACCAAGAGTTACAGTGACAGCTTAATTAATTTCTTGATGATACTAAAAAAAATGTCTACCTTCAAGAGCTCAGGTAAGCTTAGTAAACACTTGAGCTTCAGATCCAGGCTAAGAAATTAGAAAAGGGGGAACCATCTACAGAAGGGTCCCCAGCATTAGAAAAGGATAGGCCCTGACCTGCCTTATTGCCTGAATTTAAGGGTTCTCTTCCTCAACCTCACATCCTTGTCCTACCACTTCTCCTACCAGTTTTCAAACTTCCATGCCTCCATTTCCTCATCTATAAAGTGAGGATAATAAAAGTACTCCCTCAAAGAATAGTTGTCAAAACTAAATGAGTTAATATTAGTCAAGTGACTGACACATAAGAACAATATGTATCAGCTATTATCATTTATTTTTGAGTAATATTGGCCACCACCAAGAGATCTCCAGGGGCACAAATATCACATTTTTCTACAAAAATACATGGGCAAAATTATTTCATCAGCACTGAATCTAAAACAGCACAGTTTGGTAAGACACAGTGGTCTGGCCCTGCTGCAACACCTCTAAGAGATGACTGTCACAACTAGCCATGCTCAACCTGTGACCTGGGGTTCACTCAAGACAGCTCCTCCTGATTACCTCCCTCAAGGAAGTCATTTCTTCGGAAATGGAACCCTAGCCTAACTTTTGGACCAGTCTGTCACATACACTTCAAAATGTGTGAGCATGAATCTCAGAAGTTCATGTGATTAAAAAAAGTTTTTGTGAGGTGTGCTTTTTCAAACAAAAGACATTTCCTGGTCTGTGACTCTCCACAGGACTACTTTCTTTTCCTTTCTCTTTTCTACCTGGAAATCTGGTGAGGGGGCACCAAAACAGCAAGGCACACCCTCCCCTGCTTCCCAAGCGTTAGCAGGTAAGCGGCCCTAACACCCAGATAAAGCAAGATGACTGCTCCACACATATTCACAGAGAGCCGGGCCTTTTCCCTCCCCTAGGATCCGCAAAGAACGAAATTCCAAGCGCACCCTGGAGGGCTTGCGGAAACAAGCGCTCCGGTCACCTGTCGGACAGGTGAGAGAGGGTCGTCTTCCCCAGGCGTGGGACCACATCCCGTGCAGAACACACGCTCCCACGGCCCTGAGGAAGACCAGAATCATTCAGTGCACGCAGTGCAGCCCCCCCAAATCACATCTGGTCCCCGACTCGGGCGGCAGACACCTTCCGGGACACCCGGAAGGCTGTTCCTGGAAACGCAGGCGGCACCGAGCGCAGGGCGAGGCGCACACGTGCCCTGCGGCAGCAGGCCCGGCTCCGACCCCGCCTCCGCACTCACCTGGCCCGTGATGCCAGTGATGAGCGCCACCTTCCTGGGCTTGCCCATTTCGCCGTCCCCGGAGCCGCGGGCGCCGCGGCAGCGTGCCGGTGCGTGTGCCATATCCCCGCGAGCGCGCGGCGGCCGGCAGGGCGGAGCAGAGACAGCCGGGCTGAGGCAGCGGCGCCGGGGGGACGTAGGGGTGTGCCCGCGAGCAAGTCGCCTTGTCCAGGCTGCAGCGAAGGAGCGCACCGCGCGGCCGGCCGCCACAATCTGACAGGGCGCTCAGGAGGCCGGGCGGGGAGGGCTATGGGCGGGCCGAGGCGGGCCCGGCAGCCAGGCG